ACCTTAATGCCACTGTAACGATTGTTTAGTGTTAGGTCTGTTAAAGTTATGGTACATGGTTGTCTGTTTTGGACCTTAATGCCACTGTAATGGATGTTCAGTGTTAGGTCTGTTGAAGCTATGGTACATGGTTGTCTGTTTTGGACCTTAATGCCACTGTAATGGATGTTCAGTGTTAGGTCTGTTAAAGCTATGGTACATGGTTGTCTGTTTTGGACCTTAATGCCACTGTAATGGATGTTCAGTGTTAGGTCTGTTGAAGCTATGGTACATGGTTGTCTGTTTTGGACCTTAATGCCACTGTAATGGATGTTCAGTGTTAGGTCTGTTGAAGCTATGGTACTTGGTTGTCTTTTTTGGACCTTAATGCCACAGGTCTGTTAAAATGGTACATGTTGCCAGTGTTAGGTCTGTTAAAGCTATGGTACATGGTTGTCTGATTTGAATTAAATAACAATATAATAATAATATCTATAATAATTGTAACGATAGTATTAACTAGTTATAGAGATTGTGTAACTAGTTAAAGAGATTGTGTAACTAGTTAAAGACATTGTGTAACTAAAGGAATCTTTGTAACGAGTGAAAGAGATTGTGTAACTAGTTAAAGAGATTGTGTAACTACTGAAAGGAATCTTTGTAACTAATTAAAGAGATTGTGTAACTAGTTAAAGGAATCTTTATAACTAGTTAAAGAGATTGTGTAACTAGTTAAAGGAATCTTTGTAACTAGTTTAACATTGTGTAACTTATTTAAATAAATTATGTGACTAGTTAAACGAGATCTTGTGACTAGTTTCATGATATTTAGGATATGACGTCTCTGTGTTTTGATATGACAATGATAAAAACAGACCTATCACAATCACTAAAACCCACAGATTAACTATAGGATAAAGAAAAAGACTAGATTCCTGGGAATACAACTAAAACATTAAATTCACCATACAGCTGTATCGTCCCTTTAGGACCTATCACTGAAGCCTGTCATAAGGTAACTTAATCACAGAAAGTCTCTTTGGTCTGAATTAAAACTTTTTCAATCAGTCCTAATTAGATTTTTATCACAATGATTAAAACATAAGATATTCGTTGTGGATATATCGCTGTAAGCAATTGTTTGCTTACTAATTACTGGATAATCATCATACGATAATTCAAATATACACGAAAACATACCTTATTTTTTAATTAAAATTTTGATTAAGAAGCACAGTGGTGCAAATACAAATACAGGTAAAGTGTATTTAATGTGCTGAAGCCATCTTGCGACCAAAGGTTTGTTCTTCCTGCAGTGAACGGTATTGCAGGAACTAGAGCAACCAAAGGCTCCCGGCATGGCGACTCGCCTGCTCTGACCGATCGATCAGCGTAGTGGTGGATTGTCTCCGCACCGCTGTTGATGGTTGTAATGTTGGCAGTGGTCCATTAAATCTCATACTGCTATGTGAAGATAAACGCTGTAGTAAAACTAGGGATAACAAAGCAGAAGAGTGTATTCTAGTGGTATCATCGACAGAAATGAAACATAGCCCAACAAACTTTATCAGCAGTACTTAGAGAGAACAATAACTTCCGCATAAAGTAGCCACATGCAATTTCACTGCTGTAATTCATTTTTCAACTGAGATTTATTTCCGAGACGACCCCGCTGATGTCGTCGGCCATCTTTACCAGACTTGCTCATCTTTAGACTTTATATAGATACACACAACACGAAGAGGAAAAACCGGTAACATCATCTCCTGTCAGCTTCGTTTTTTGCTTACGCTACAAATAAATACACCCATACATCAAATGATAAGCTGCAGATATTACCTTCGCACGAACTTACGCTTACATAAACTTGTCAAAGAGTAGCAAAACGATACTAGAAACTGCCCCATTTATCATTGTGTAGCTCCATGCGAATCTGGTGCACCATGTCCCAAATTACAGTTAAACATCTCCGCCACACACCATTGTTGTACTGCACACCCTACATGTATCATTGACAACTGAACAAAACAGAGCAATGACTTCGAATAAACCCACACCCTGTCCGATACCTGTGTAAGTGTTGCCAAACGATGTTAACCCACACCCTGTCCGATACCTGTGTAAGTGCTGCCAAACGATGTTATCACACACACTGTCCGATACCTGTGTAAGTGTTGCCAAACGATGTTAACCCACACCCTGTCCGATACCTGTGTGTGTTAACCCACATCCTGTCCGATACCTGTGTAGGTGCTGCCAAACGATGTTAATCCACACCCTGTCCGATACCTGTGTAAGTGTTGCCAAACGATGTTAACCCACACCCTGTCCGATACCTTTATAAGTGTTGCCAAACGATGGTAACCCACACCCTGCCCGATACCTGTGTAAGTGCTGCCAAACGATGTTAACCCACACCCTGTCCGATACCTTTATAAGTGTTGCCAAACGATGGTAACCCACACCCTGCCCGATACCTGTGTAAGTGTTGCCAAACAAACGAGATTAAGCCACACCCTGTCCAATACCTGTGTAAGTGTTGCCAAACGATGTTAACCCAAACCCTGTCCGATACCTGTGTAAGTGCTGCCAACGATGTTAACCCACACCCTGTCCGATACCTGTCTAAGTGTTACGTGACGATGTTATCCCACACCCTGTCCGATACCTGTGTAAGTGTTGCCAAACGATGTTAACCCACATCCTGTCCAATACCTGTGTAATTATTACTAAAAGATGTTAACCCACACCCTGTCCGATACCTGTGTAAGTGTTACCAAACGATGTTAACCCACACCCTGTCCGATACCTGTGTAAGTGTTACCAAACGATGTTATCACACACCCTGTCCGATACCTTTATAAGTGTTGCCAAACGATGTTAACCCACACCCTGTCCGATACCTTTTTAAGTGTTGCGAAACGATGTAGAAGTTAAAGTTAAAAATTAAAAATGACGTTTTTATGTTGATGATAAAGTATTGGCATGTGTTTGTCTTAGTAATAATCATTATGACACATACCATGAGTTACAGTGTAATTGTTTGAAGTACTAATATTCGTAATCAAACTCCCCATCGTAAATAGTGAATATCTGTATTGAATATACCGCGAGCTACAGTGTTACTGTTTTAATTGCTAATATTCATAATCAAAATCCCCATCGTAAGCAGTGAATATCATTTTTTTAACACTCAGAAATTTGAAAGTTAGCTTTTGTATAGTTTTCATGTAGAACATATAATTTTATGATTTTCCATTTCCGTGTCCTACATACCGAAAGCCAAGTGTGAAGAGTTAAGATTAATAAAGATTAAGGAATGGTTACAGATAGGAATAGAAGTTAGGAAATAACCTCAAAAAAGCAGTTCAGACTAGAAATATCATTACTCTCAACATCATAAATAGGACTACTTTTTACATCATCTATAAGACTACTTTTTACATATATAAGACTACTTTTTACATTGTATTTAGGACTAGTTTTTACATCATATATAGAACTACTTTTTACATCATATATAGGACTGCTTTTTACATCATATATAGGACTATTTTTTACATCATATATAAGACTACTTTTTACATCATACATAGGACTGCTTTTTACATCATATATAGGACTACTTTTTTACATCATATATAGGACTGCTTTTTACATCATATATAGGACTACTTTTTACATCATGTATATGACTGCTTTTTATATAATATATAAGACTACGTTTTTATCATATCTAGGACTTATTGTTGACATCATACAAGGGCAACCATCTACATCATATATAGGCCCACTTTCTACTTCATATCTAGGACTACCCTCTACATCATACAATGGCAACCCTCTACATCATATATAGGCCTACTTTCTACTTCATATCTAGGGCTACCCTCTACATCATACAAGGGCAACCATCTACATCATATATAGGCCTACTTTCTACTTCATATCTAGGGCTACCCTCTACATCATACAAGGGCAACCATCTACATCATATATAGGCCTACTTTCTACTTCATATCTAGGGCTACCCTCTACATCATACAAGGGCAACCCTCTACATCATATTTAGGGCTACTTTCAACATCATATCTAGGCCTTCTTTCTACGTCATATTTAGGGCTACTCTCTACATCATATGTTGCGTTATTCTTTACATAATGATAACAAGGACTACTATCGACATTATATCTAACATTTCCTTCCACCTTCTAGATCATTTGTGTGGTTAATCTCTACGTTATATCGTAGGATTTTCCAAACGTCAACGTGAATAACGTTTTGATTTACATTTTCTGTGCATTTTTATATTGAGCATTTGTGACAGAATGTGAAAAAATATCTATATGTGAAAGAAAAGAGAGACAGCAAAGTAACATGATCTGAATAAGTTTAACATGGAATGAATGAGTTTAACATGGATTGAGTGTGTTTAACATGGACTGAGTGTGTTTAACACTGGCTGATGTGTTTAATATCGAGTGAGTGTATTTAACATGGGCTGAACGAAGTTAACATGAATTGATGGAGTTTAATATGGACTGAATGAGCTTTACGTGGATTGATTGAGTTTAAAATGAGATGAGCGTGTGAAACATGGGCTGAATGTATTTAACATGTGCTGAACGAAGTTTACATGAGCTGATGGAGTTTAATATGGGCTGGTGGAATTTAACATGGGCTGAATGAGCTTAACTTGGATTGAACGAGATTAAAATGGGCTTAATGAGTTTCTAAAGAGCAGGGTGATAATTTACAGCTTCCCTGTCATGAAAGTGTTGTATTCACACATGCCTCTCTCATGGTGTCATTGAATGGTAGGAGTGTATTTAGTGTGCTGAATTGTCGGTTAACGATACGTTTTGCGTTACTGCCATAATAAAATTATACCATCATTACACAACTAAGACGGAATAACTCGAACAAACATCTTAGCGAACCGGAGACATAAACGATGTAGTTTAAGAATTATTTCTACACACATATTGTATGGAAATACATGGGTATTGATTTTGTTTCAGAATGGCCAATGCAAGAGCGAAAGCTGAGCAGGCAGACCAGTCAGCCCTCAAGTCAGAACAAGATTCAGATTTTGCCAGGTTAAAAGCAAAAGAGTATGCTCCAGAATTTCATCAACCAGGTACAATGTGTTCTTGTCTTTGTCTATATACCAGGTACAATGTGTCATTATCTACGTCTATACACCAGGTACAATGTGTTCTTATCTAGGTCTATACACCAGGTACAATGTGTTCTTGTCTTTGTCTATAAACCAGGTACAATGTGTTCTTGTCTTTGTCTATAAACCAGGTACAATGTGTTCTTATCTAGGTCTATACACCAGGTACAATGTGTTCTTGTCTTTGTCTATACACCAGGTACATTGTGTTCTTATCTAGGTCTATACACCAGGTACAATGTGTTCTTATCTAGGTCTATACACCAGGTACAATGTGTTCTTGTCTTTGTCTATAAACCAGGTACAATGTGTTCTTGTCTTTGTCTATAAACCAGGTACAATGTGTTCTTATCTAGGTCTATACACCAGGTACAATGTGTTCTTGTCTTTGTCTATACACCAGGTACAATGTGTTCTTGTCTTTGTCTATACACCAGGTACAATGTGTTCTTGTCTTTGTCTATAAACCAGGTACAATGTGTTCTTGTCTTTGTCTATAAACCAGGTACATTGTGTTCTTATCTAGGTCTATACACCAGGTACAATGTGTTCTTGTCTTTGTCTATACACCAGGTACAATGTGTTCTTGTCTTTGTCTATAAACCAGGTACAATTTGTTTCTCCAAATCTATAAAAGCTCGACCAGTGTGTTCGTTTCTACGTCTTTACTCCATGTTCCAATAGCATAATGCCTTATCAAATGCAATGTCTTATTTTGGTAAAAATTGGCCGGCTTGTCTTGATGAAGGGTCGTGATTGCATCTTCTTGGACGAAATTGTTTCTTCACTACCATGGTTGACCAGCTATAAATTATTGAAACTGATTTATTTTCAAAGATCATTATTACCCTCTGTCAATGTAAATAACCATTATTTTAGATAAATGAGATAATTGTATCCAAAATATTTTCTTCACAAAAACAACAAGAATATACCATACACCATAACAACACAGTCATAATCCAAATTAAAATTGAATTAAAGTAGAGTGACCTATGAACGAACTTGGGAACTGCAAGAAAAAGTGCAAAGAAATTAAGACCAAGTGTTCAGGAAGAGTGAGCGTCTTCTGGCTTCATCAACGACACCCGGCATGTAATTCTTGGTCCGTCGATGTAAGTTATGTCACGTTCTCAAAAGAGAACTAGTTATACAACATTGGAATATCATCAGGCATACAAACGAGCATCAAATGGACCGTACAATTTCATAATCATTTTCATCAACATGCATCTTTTGAAACCATGTGTTACGAGTTTGTCCGTCAATTGACGATTTCTTGTACGAAAGTCGTGAAAATGGAAACAGGCCCTTGAATATCGACTGCTTCATGTAAACACCATAAGTTTAGGATGCAAGGATGTCGGAAAATTCACAATAGGGGAATTGAAATCGTTACGCTTATCATACAGCTTGGTGGAAAGCTGTCGAAGTTTCATGGTAGGAAAAGATCGAGATAAGCAAAGAAGAAATAACATTCAAAATATTGTTTTGTACATCATTGGGTATGTATCAATTCAGTCGTAAAGTTATTGGTATTTTATTGTTCCAATACCAAATTGCAAAAAAAAAAAAAAAAAAAAAAATCCGCTGAAAGTTGCATCTTGTCTGCACTAATGACTGTCCGATATATATATTTAGCCTGCACGTTGGTTATGTGCAAAAAGGCTTGAAATAATTATTATTGATACCAACTCTGAATGTTGAACGGGTGAATTCAGTTTAAAAATATTCAATTAAATATTCTCAATAACATTTTCCTACATAATTTTTAGAACTGAAATAGTGTAGGCCATTTTTGCCCTCATAGAAATATTGTTATTAAGATAGAAATATTGTTATTAAGACTAAATTACTGTTTAACACGTTGTTGTAGTGTTATCATACTGCATAGTCATGATATCGCACAAACAGATAAATATCCACTATAATTATGGATGATGGTTCCAGGTGATTCCGTGTTTATTGATTAAACGAGATATCGTCCTTAACAATCTCGTAATTCAGGATAACAGAAATTTACTTTTGGAATCTACAGCGAACGGTCGTTTTCTTTGTATCAGTAGTGATCGTTTATTGGATCGTCTTCTGCAATGATACACAACAATGTAAAAAAACATTCTTCAAATCCCATAATTGTGATAAATGGTGACGTTAATGACCAGGGACAAGGTAAATAAGGCTTTGTTACGGCGAACAAGGGCGTAAATTCGAGCTTAATATTCTACAATGACAGGAATAAAGAGTGATAACTTCTTTATTTTACTGTAGCATACTGTAGCCTAGAATAACAGTAGAATTGTTTGTTAATTATTCCGAAGTCTAACATACACAAGCGTTTTGTAGGGTTTTCACACTCCCTCAGCTTGGAAGTAAGTTCTCATGATAAATAACCAAATAACTTTGGAATTTTTGAACGGTTACATAAAAGAAAGCTGTTTATATACATATAATTACCATAATGCGTGTATGAAAATTGATATCGATAAAATCAGCATATAGAAAAGTAGTCTCACAAATCTAATGGATCAGGATATACAGATTTTCATTTACTCGTTTGATATGACGTTAATTCATTTACAGGCTCAGACATCTTGAAGAAAAAACGAGAGAATGGCGAAGTGGACGAGGATGAGTATGACTTCAGTTATGTGAAAGGCCTTCAAAACCACAATCCACACCGCTCCAAGTCAATGCTCACAAAGACCCACCACGAAGATGGGGGGTTGCTACCCGGAGGTCTCGTTCCAATGGTCAACAGTTCCCCGGATGGAAGTCCACTTAGGAATAATAGTGGTTATGACTACTTGCAAATGTCGAATGCCAAACAAGATAGTAAAAAGATGACTAGTATACCAAATCATTCGCCACATAACAGGAGTCCATCTTTGAAAATTAGAAGGTATAGCTTTTTGGCGGGTTCGAGGAGAGGTAGAGGATTTAGTGAGATATTTAATTCGACAATTTTAAATGACCACTTTGATCAGTATTCTGCCCAAAGGGACGATAGTGGTTTAGGGAAAGAACTTTTAAGTGGCGAGGAACGCTACAGGGGGAACCACATAACGGACCCGTCACCAGATTCAGGCGTGTCCGAAAGCCTGGACGATGAGTCGAAGAATAGACCGCTCCAGCGAAGAAGAACTATGCCTTGCATTGTCAAAACCGAGGGCAATGCGACAACACAAGCAATGGCGGAAAGAGAGACGGCGCACAGTAGCGAAAACATTGCAAACAAAAACTCCGATACTTACGTTATTGAAAATGGAATACGAAAACGAGTGAAAGGGGTTGATAGACCTCCAGCACAACAACAAAGAATGTCAAGGGGCGACCTTCCAAAAGAATACAAAATCGAAAGCCAAAATGCGTTGGGTAAGGGAAAGGGCAAAAGAGGCAGTCTTCCAGACATCACAGCTATCAAGCAAGTGGATAAGATCAAACCAATGTCGCGTGAAGAGGCTTACCAGCTGGGCAGTGCTAGGCGGGAAGAGCTCAGGCGACTTCAAGATTTGGCCGACAGGCGTCGGCAAGGGGACGTAACTGTCATCCTCGGGGATCTGAAGGTAGGTCACTCACTTTTCAGCTACAATGTTGCATTTGTTAGTGTATGAACACTGTCATAATCACCGACAATAACAATAAATGAAATCAGTTGGAAGAATTTATGCGATAACATTTTGCAGAATTTCATTTTGTTGTTAATAGTAATATATAGAAATTCGCCTTCGTTAGTATACTCTATAACATTGGTGTATTTTGTTGCTATTTTTTTCATTGTAATGGTTAGACACTGATACAGTTCAAAGGCACTGTACGATGCGAGGTTGTCATGGAAGACATAATATAATTATAAACATGCTTTATTGAAATATGAAAAAATATATATGTTTTAATAATATTTTCAATTATTTCTGTTTCAGGACTTTGTACAGCAGCGTCAGCTGTTGGTCTTAGTTATTGCAGTGAACCTGAGTTTAGCTACAATGTTTTTCAACCTGTTGTCCTGATGAGTGCTGTAATTTGGTCGTCATGGAAACAAATATATGCACCTTCCAGTGACCTGTGCTACCGTAGCACACATTGGCTTCGGCGGGTTGATACAACGGAAACAGCAGTCGAACCAGTTCTAGGTCAAAGGTCAAGAAGGGAAATTGGTTTTCTTACCAAGAGAAATACCAAGACCATACCCGTTGAACATGAATTTGTTTGATAACCTGCTTTAGCCACGGCGTTTTCGCAAGCAGTTGATGGAACTCGGCGAGACTCCAACTACCTACTGAACCAAACTTTCCTATTCCGTCTCGTGCGTCCGCATCCATTTTTCCATTAGGATGTACGAGACCGGGTCACGTGTTACCCAGTGATGTCACGTGTTACCCAGTTATCATCTTCCCTGGCACCATATTTGTCCCAAGGACAGATCTCTATCAAGTTAAGGTGAAGACGAATTCAGTTAAAGACATTGTGTGTAAATGGTTATTGGAAATCATTTTCCGAGAATAACATTTTTGTGGAGTATATAAGTTCTGGGAAGAACACAGAAAGGAAGGAGAATAACGACTTTTTTGCGATCTTTGTTCGAGCTGGAATTCGTTGAAGTTATTCAGAGTTTATATGCATTGTGGATGTTGAAGATTCTTGAATGCATGTGTGTGTGAATCGTCACTACTCATTATCCCGTGTTACCCGGAAATGTCTACAACAAATCTGTTTGTTCCTGTTAGGGTTAATTCCACGTTCCACTAAGTTTTGTACGACGAGGAGCAATCCAGAAGCAGTGTTTTGTTTTTGATCGGGATTATATGTGACCAGAATAACTTGTGTATAAATTCCTCCTTTTAACTACTATCTTATAGTCATTCTCTCCATTTTTTTGAATGTTAGGATTTTTGCGACATTTTTGTTGGATACAAAATGTGTCTGCTATACGCACATGATCGATCCTTCAGCTGTCATACTGTTGGCCCATATGACACAATCAATCTGGCACGCACCTAGTACCTCAATCATGGGCATGTCCATAACGCAGCACACCACACGTGCAACTTATCTGTAATGATATCATAGTGAATAAGGTCATCAGACGACATCAAGACGGAGGAAACGATAAGAGATTGTGTAACAATGTATGAATGTCCTGATATGTTATTGTAAAATGCAATTGAATGTGGATTCGATAATTTTCATGAAGTCATGAAGAAAGAATGTTTAACAAAAGGTAAGGAATCAAATTTCAGTTCAAGAACAAGAGACAGGTCATCTATTTTCCAATGACCATGGAGGCAGCAACAGAAATCAGTATTTATAAATATTTATCAGTTATTGAATTAGATTGTTGGTTTAACTTGCGACCTGCGGAAATGCATTGTTGACTGATTCAAAGTAGGGAGGAACGGCTACAAGGTCAACGCTACTCATGACCGTATATATAGACAGCGTACGAAGTGCAAACGTCGTATGATCAAGATAATTGCAGATTTAACTCTTTAGACATTAAGAAACTACATTGTGCATTTGAAAGCATGATTTCGTAGAAACAAAAATCCGTATATTTTCACCAATCGTCAACCCGAAGTATCCTTCTGTGTTGTAATTGTGCGGAGGTCTGTACCTTTGTACCCAAATACAGGAGATCTATAACCGTGATGTCTTTCAGTAGTATGACATGTACCCCACAGTCCTCGCCAGACTGTAAGGATTGTTCTCGTATCACGTGACACTCCGTTTGCCGATACGCCATGTTTTTATTTATTTCTATTCTAGGTGTTTTTAATTTTCATTTGTATTTTTATCTTTTTTTCTTGTTTATGAAATATGAATATGATTTAGAAAAAAATCAGTATTTTGCTTCCATGAATTTTTAACAAACAAAATCGTCGACCGACTTTAATTTATTATTCCAGATCAGTACATTTTCCTAGATTTGAATTCAGTTTGTATGCTACGTAAGATAGGCGTGTTGGAGGAAATAACACACAAATTGCTACTTTTGTCTAATGAATTTGTCGATCATTAATTAATCGTTTGATAGATCTTTAGTAAAATTATACATCTATTACACAGTGTAATATTCAGATTAAAATATTGTTATTTACCTGCAGGGAGAGAGCAGTTGTTTTTTTTCACTTTTTGCATTTCGTTAAAACATAACATCACGGAAGTAACATGGAATTAAAGGGAAGCAATTCATTTAATGAATGGTGCTGATTGGCGTTACTGCTCACAAACTGATACCCGAAATATTCCTATAGTGTTCACCGTTTCGCTGATATCGGGTCGTACAAACATTTTTATTCATCACGTACAAGATTGTCGTTTGAATAATTTCATTTGACATGTTCCTCTTATTTTCATCTAAATTTCAGGCTTTGGGAACGAAGCCAAATGCGCTTTTACAGCAGTAAGATAAGACAAGAGTAGTTAATTAAGATTCCAAATTGTTTGGATTTTGATGTTTGATCTAGTGACCATATGTGTTATTGTAGGCCTTCAACTAACCGTTTTAATGGGACGTGGTTTTACGACGTGTTCTTCCTTCCTACATTTACTATATAGTCTACCGTGCACACCTGATTTAAAATGACACAGAATAGACAAATATACCGCTAAATTAACAATTTAAACTGTAATCATTACTTACAAATATCATGCTGTTGGAGGATACCATCAAAAATTTATATATTTACGATACCACGTCATTGTTTACAGTGATCAGCCCCCGTGATAACATTCCATTAATAGCTTACAAAGTAGCCGTTTATTCAGGAATGCACATTATTGTATCGATACATTGTATCATGGTGTACTGACATAGTAGGCCTGTAAACATCTGACGTGATATCGTGAATATTTACAACGAGTTTGGATTGTACGTAGGTTTTACATAACTCGATAACAGTAATAATTTACATTGGCGTTACATAAAAAAAGGGCAGAGATGAAGCTGTTATTACCACGCGACAGATGTCAATCTTAATATACATTTGCCTGTCAATTTATCTTGTCATTGTAAGAATTTTTAAGCTTTTAATATAAATTTTGTTTGGAGATATATCATCTTTTGCTTTTTTTCGTGCATCATTTTGATATTTCATTACATTTATTATCCCCCGAGGGGAAGTACGAAGGGTATATTTGCTGTTCCATTGATATGGGTTCATTTTGATACAACCTAGTTTCCTATTCTAATTATATATCTTCCAAATTTTTGAACAAAAATGAAACTATTTTGTAGTGTTGAAAACGAAGGGTGTTTTTGTGTAATTCCCTTTGTAATGTGTACTTAAGATAATATTTTAATAAGTTAATATATGTAAACTTTCTTTTGGATTTTTTTCCTAAATTAGATTTTATTTTTTTTATTACTTGAAAGCATTTGAATGGTTTATACACTGACTCCACCCAATAAAATCGCAGAGAGAAACTCTTGTGTTTTTGTTTGTACGTCGTTTTGTGTTGCAATATCTGACAGGTATCCATACATATATATATACTTATCTCTGGCGGCACAGTTCAATTCACGAAGATTGGTCTAAACAAATAGATTTGTTAAGGAGGGGAAATATAGGTAGTAAGCATTGCTTTAGATCATTGTATTTTAAAATAAATACAGGATTAGGTAGATAAGTTTGTGGTATCAATTATAATCAACGTTAAAAATTCTATTTTTGTTGTTTTTGTTTCAAGGAGAGTCTAGACATTTACATTTCGCTTGACTTTAGATGATTTTAGCTTTTAGATAAAACGAAACCACTTAGACAGATTTTTGAACGTTATCTATATGTATAGGAAACATCATTGGTTTCGTTTGTACCAGTCTACATAGAATCAATTGGCAAAATGTTGATAACAAATTTGTAGCTTTTGATCTTATCGACGATTGCATTAAGTGAATTTACAGGATGTCTGACGGAGATCAATAAAGGATGAAATCTATGACAACATCTTTACAAAATAAATAAATGTTAATTTAAAGTTACCTGTATAAACCATGCGATTACTTACAATTGATATTTAAACTATTTGATGGCGTTTTACCACAGGTACCAGCTACGTAAGGAAGCACAGCTACCGATTAAAGTTTTAGGTCAAAGGATATTAGTTACAAAATGTTTAAGGAATCACTTATCGAAAAGTGTACAAAAGATTAGAATAAGATAAGGTTTAGTCAATGAAATGAATCAAACTGAAGCACACACTTATTTCCTCCTTCTAAGACTCGTCAGTGATGTCAAGGTTACAGGTATAATTATGGTTGTCAAAGCTAAAAGTATCGCTATGATTATCAAAGGTACAGTGCCAATGAGTTACAGTGTAAACAGATTATATTCTAAATCAGTTACAATATAAAAAGAAGTTACATTATTTGAGTTACAGTATAGATAATTTACAGTATAAATAAGCTACGGTATGTATGAATTACAACATAAGTTACATTTTAAATAAGTAACAGTATAAATAAGTTACAAAATAAATAAGTTATGGTATGAATGAGTTACAAATAAGTTACAGGATACATGAGTTGAAACACAAGTATAAAAAAGTTACAACATAAATAAGTTACAGTATAAATGAGCTGTATTATGTAAGAGATGATGAAGTCACAAGTATTAATCACACCAAGGTAAATTATATAACTGTGGCTCCGAAAGTGATTTCCTGTAACTTACTCATTATATTGAGGAGAATCTTCAGACACTTAAATATTTAGATTCGAACCTGAAGATATATATCCTGTATAATACTTGTCAAATAACATATCTGATTCACATTACATACTGAATACATCTATAACACCTATTTATTTGATTTCGGAATAAACATTTAGGTTCAATAGCTCATAAATCACACAGGAACGATATACATCTAGACGTTCAGACAAATTTTATTTCTTATATTGGTGCAATATGAAATCATGTATTTGTAAACTAGAACTTATCAGCCAACAGTAGTCGAATTGGATCATGTCAACAGAAAAAAGTCGTCGGTATATGTCCGCGTTTGCAATGTTATATAAAGCAAAGGTATATATTTTTCAGTAAGGGATGAAGTGTATATTACCATATCTTACTTAATGACATTAAGTAACAAGCGATAGTACACAATTCTACATAAACTAGAGCATATAAAAAGTTACACAAAACGATAGAATGGATTGAATGCCTACCAAACTATTTTCTTTTAATAAACGTTTTATTGACAAAAACTTATAGGTCCTTCATGATGCAAAACTTGTCCTCAAGTAGGAGGGATCTCATTCTCCACACACCACACATTCACTGTGCCTCTTCTTTGATCGTCCAACCAAATATTCTATACATGATATATCTATTCATTTCCATACGTTGTAAATTACTCTATGTACGTTACAAAAATTTTAATGACAAAGACACATCTCCCATACTCTCAACGCATATTTTTTTTCTATTAATAGATATTATTCTATGACCTATTTTCGTTTTCAAGTAACTAGTACAGATAAACAATTACGTATCACATAAGAGCTCTCTTAAGTCTTCGCAAAGGTCCTTACCTCAATCAAATGTCTTTTAACACACCTGTATTCCAATTTAGAATATACAGGTAGTAGTGACCAACCAAACTAGTAGACACTTATTCATTTAGTAGCAAACAATACAATGCTCTTGTTCTGTACATGAATGAAAACTTGAATGTACATGTATATTTTAATTTAGCCGAAAGGAAAAACAGATCAAACGAGAATTTTTTAATGGTCATCTCATTTAGAACATATTCTCACGATCATAGTTCGTACTCTCATTGGTACCGTATTTCAGAAGTGATCAATGCATAAAGATATGATTCATAATTATCAATAGAATAATTCACATGTTTTTAAATTATGAAATGAAATAAACGCAAAATTACAGGATTGCATTCCCTCCAGGAGTTCCGAAAAAATAGGATTATTTTAGCCGTTTCCAGATAAGATATATATATGTATGGAGTCAGTTTCCTTTTGCTTGCTGGTTTTGTTTTTTATTTACGCTTCTTTGCTTGAGCACGTTTTTACACTTTGTTTGATACTTTGTGATTTATACGATATAGTATAAACATGATAGACTCATACTATAGTTTTACATTGTATTGTTTATACTACGTCACCTGAATCTGCTATTGTCGAGTGAAGTCGTTCTACAGAGATAACAAAACACATGTAATCTGTAATGGAGCAAACCTGTGAAGATACAAACAAATCACCATGATACTGTTATGATTTATATTAATTTCGGAACAACATTAACAAGATAGTAACGATATGAGGATACCGGAGGCCCTATTGAATTTCGTAGGACAAAACATCAATTAAAACAACAAAATCTAACTATGAACCAATATAATGAGGAATACTATCAAAAGTTCAGGTGTTTTTCAAGGTGCGTGTCTCGCCAAGTCAATGTAGGCCAATCCATAAAGACCACTATTAATCTGTCTTATTGTTCCTATCCAGTTTTTTCCAAATTTGTTGATATTAATTTTTTTGTTATCTAAAGAAACTATATCTAAAGTGAAAGTGAAAGTCAAGGTGTTCGTTTTGTGATAAGGGTTTCAAAGAAGTCAATGATAAGCCAACTACAAACGAGGAAGGCCCGTATCATTTCCTGTATTTCGTTTTTTAAACCCCTCGACAATGTTTAGGTAGAGTAATTTGGTTACTAAAAAGCGATTTCTTTATGTAAGCAGGAAATGTGTTTATGTCTGCAGACAAGGATCAAGTTCTGGATTTCTTTCCTACAGACTTTACTCATATTCTTATCAATGTAAGAAATACTGACTTGTACTTTTGTTTTAATTATTGATTTTAAACTAAGAATTCTTTTAGTATGATGAACTGCATGGATTTAATCAATATGAACGTTATTTTCCAAAGAAGAAATTTCACGTTTACCCAATTTTTGGCATAGTCTTCCGGGATTCAGATACTTCACAAAAAGAGACTCTCTCACGGCACTCTAAAGATATCATCATAGTTTATTATTTTGTATAATGTAGAATGGGAATCTCGATATTTTTAACTGTAATTCATAACCTGTCATAACTTACCATTTTGGAGACAATGGAACAACTCGCGAAGAGGTAAACATGACCAACAACACCATGTATGTCGAATCAAAACACTTTTCTGATCTTATAATTAAATTTGACTGGTGGAAAAAATACAAAGAGATTAAGGTAAGATGTTTCAGAAGAGTACGCGTCTTTCTCTGCATCGACGACACCCGCCGTGTAGATTTTGGTCAATCCATGTCAGCAATGTAACGTTTGCAAACAAGAACAAATTATACAACAACGCAACCAGCTGGCAATAACGAGCATCAAACAGGTTCAGATCCATATCGCACAGAGAAACAGACCATTCCTTACTGGGAGCAGTAGGACGATCGCCAATTGTTCACGTAGTTTTCATCAACTTGCATCTTTTGAAACACCATGTTATGAAACATGATCTCTGAATAAGTTAGTCGAAGGTAAGAAAACATGATAAACATGTATGATAGATTATGTAATCAAAATATAGCAAAGATGAAAAAAAAAGTTAACTGATGTAATTAATATGTAAACACAGTGTAGTAAATGTAATTCTAATATAATAAACATTTAAAAGAGATGAAAATTATGTGATTAAAATGTAAACATAGTGTAGAGAAAATTTAGATATATAAACAACATAAAAAGATATGTGAAATTTGTAATTAAAATATAAACACGGGTAGCAAATGTAATTATTATGAATTAAACATGTAAATTAGTTGTAAAGCACGGAATATTCACTGCAAAATTCAATCAATTTCTCCCAAAACAATCCACAAGAACAGGAAATGAGTTTCAAGTTGAAAGATGACCACTAAAATCTATAGATATTACACAAGTTTAATTTTTACGGTTATATAAGACCATGGTTACTGAATAGAGGGATAGATCTATCACATAATTCAATAAGTTTCGTAATTTACATATTCTAAGAATTTCAGAACGCTAAGGAACACCAATTAAGTCTACATTCTAAACCGCACCACTATTTAAATGAATTCAAATGTAGCATGTTGATTACGGCATAACTCGGGTTCTAAAAGTCCACCATTAGTGTCTATCAACTGTAATATCCATAATAGTATACAAGACAAACAAATGCATAGCACCGGTCAATAGCTAAAGAATTAATCTGCATTATACAGCTGTTTCTCCTACTAGGACTCGTCAGTGATTATTAGAATCTAATGTTGAAACCAACTTGGTCTTGCATAAATACACGAATAAGTATTTTTCTTTACGACAATACTGGGAAGAAAATGACACATTTCAATACGAATTTAGATTAAAATCCAGTAGCGCCATATAATTTAACTACACTACACAGCTGTTTCTCTATCTAGATCTTATCAATGATGCTTAGATGCTTAA